GGAGTATGCGGTCCAGTTTTGGTCACCGATACTCAGAAAATATGTCCTTGAGCTGGAAAAAGTCCAGAAGAGGGCAACCAAACTCATTAAGGGGTTCGAGGATCTGAACTATGAAACAAGGTTGTTAAAATTAAATATGTTCTCTTTGGAGGTTAGGAGATTAAGGGGGGGACATGATTTTCTTGTATAAACTGTTCAAAGGCGACAGCAACATTATTAACAGTCAGCTCCGTAACAAAGACCAGAGGGCACCACCAAAAATTGGTAGAAAAAAAATGTCCACACACGGGGCGCACAGGGTTCTTCACAGTTAGAGCGGTTAGGGTCTGGAACTCACTGCCGCAGGAAGTGATTTCAGCTAAGAGTGTGGAATCATTCAACAAACTCCTACACAAGTTGCTTGGTGACCGTAACATAAAGGGGTACCAGTACTCTTAAGAGCAAAATCACACATGGACTCATATACACGCACACACCAGCTCAAACATAAATGCATACACGCAATGGGTTGGACTTGATGGACTTATGTCTTTATTCAACCTCAAATACTATGTAAGGCTGGGCACACACCTTACAACTATCGCAAGACTTTTGTCTAGCAATGGTTGTAAGGTAATTAAAAAACGAACTATCTTGGACAGGCAGATCGTACTTGCAATGATCGCAAGCCCGCCCCGCTGAGGGGCGGGCTTCCGATGACCGCAATGCTGAACGGGAGGTGTGCCACCCCGTCCGGCTTTTATCTTACGAGCATGCTACACACCCGCCGAAATGATGACAGCTCCAGCCACTGATCTCTCCTCCGATCGCTGGACCCGGAAGTGATGTGTATTAACTTCCGGTGTCACTGTACACAGCCTCCGGCTCTTAGAGCCAGGAGATTAAGCTGGGGAAGCAGATCTCTGCTTCCTCAGCTTTTTTGGGGTCCCTAGGTGACATTAGGGGTCTGCAAGACCCCTGATGTCTCCATAAAGAGGACCTGTCACACCTTATCTGCTATTAGATAGGGTGTTTGTTAGCTCCCTATGTAATAGCAATTGGGTTAGTGGAAAAAAAAAATAAAGTGTTAAAAATGAAAGTAACATAAAAGAAAAATGCTAAAATGGAAAAAAAAAAAAATTTAAGACCCCCGTCCCCCACGTGCACGCACATACACACGCAAATACGAGTCGGTGCGCCTACATGCGAAAACGACAATTGCGCTACACATGTTACATATCGCCGCGAACGACGGAGCGAGTGCAATAATTCTAGTGCTGTCAATGACTGTTAGCACTAAACTGATGAGCGGTAAAAGCGTTTAAAATGTTCCCTATGGGAAATTTGGGGTATTTACTTTTTTTGCGGGTTCACGGGCGAACGCAATTTTAAGGCCTGACGTGTTTGGTATCTATTTACCCGACATGATCCCGTCTTTCATATTTTACCAAAAAATTGGGTATTATATTATGTTTCTGTGCACTAAGTTTTAATTTAGTTTATTTTTTCCTAAAAATACGGGTTCGATAAACATTTGCGCAAAAACCGGGCGACGTAAAAAATTGCACCTAGCATTTTTTTATTCTACAGGGCCTCTGCTTTCAGAAAATATATCATTGTTGGGGGTCTGAAGCTGTTTTCTAGCCAAAAATTTATATTTTATCATGTGTGCGCAAATAGTAGGAAAATGCCCCGGATGGCAAGTGGTTAACTATGTAACTATGGTCAGGGGTCCCATCCACCCCCTGTACATAGAATGATTACCTGCGGTTTGGGATAGATAGTTGTCCCTGGACACAATCTGTCTATGTGTAGGAACAATTATCTATCCTAAACGCAGATAGTTGGTCCATGTAGTTACATGCGGACTGCCGCTGTCACCTTGTCATTAACTTGAACGAGTGGCCGCATCTCTATGGACCCACCTGGGATTCTTACGGCAAGAATCTGTTGGTTCTGAATGTAGTCTTAGGTTGGCACAACAAATGTATTTGCATTGAGCCATTGCATTAAGTACACCCATTCCTGCCTGATGGATTGCATTCCTGCCTGATGGATTCCATATATGATACATATTCTATACCCTTCTCCGCCCCATCCAGAACAAAACGTTTCAGTTGGAGTTACACTTTAAAATAAAAAGATAACTGTACCTCCAGCACTCCTGTCCACGCTATGTCTGAAAAGCCTCGAAAACTCGGGCTACCCACAAATTATTTGAACATGTTTGTAATCACGACGTAGTAGAACCTGGAGGTACAGAGCTGGCCGGGCAAAATCTGTCCTGTATCTGAAAATCTCGGGGCCATTGCATTTACTGCACAATTACCGGCAGCCGACCGCTACGCCTCAAGTACCTCAGGTGAGAGCTGTCAATCAGTCTTGTGTCCCCTCCCACTCAACTACCATCCGCTGAGCTCTGTCAATCATCCCTTTCTCCCCGCCCAATCGCCTGCCCTCAGCTGAGCGCTGTCAATTATCTCTGTCTCACCGCCCACACAGCTCTCCTCAGCTCAGCGCTGTCAATCATCACTATCTCCCCGCCCAATCACCTCCCCTCAGCTTAGCGCTTTCAATCATCTTTTGCTCTCCGCCCACTTAGCCCCGCCCCCGGCATCATCCTCTTCCTGTACACTGGAAGTCTCATGTCCTCATGTGCGGTGGCATCTACGGGGAGATCTCGGTGACTGCAGGTGGGACACAATCTGAGGTTTCCGGTCCATCTTGTATTCTCTGTGGGACTTCCTCCATGTACAGTGCTGGTTACATAGAGATATTTGATACTTTGTTTCATTATGAGGCAGCCTGCCTTGTCAGTGGGATGTATGGGGGAATCCTGGTGGCAGCACATGTATGGCCTCCATGATGATCCTAGTCAGCTGTAATTATTGTCAGGGCTCATTCACACAACTGCATTAGGCTCCCACTAGGCTGCACGCTAAAACAAAGTGGACACGCCATTCAGGTCTCCGCACACAGCAGCGTGGCGTGCTGTGCCGCAGTGCCACCCAATCCGATCAAACCTTGGGCACATAGGAAACAATTGTTCTCTGTGTGCCCTGTTCACACCACAGTGCTGCGGTGACTGTGGTGCAGCGCTCGCCAGCATTTCTGCAGTTGCAGTGCAGAGACATTCTATAAAGTGTCTTTTAAAAAAAAAAATTAGAAAAAGAAAAAAATGTGATTGTGTGGTGCGTTGTAACAATGCATCTCAATGTGCCTACACAATGCACAGCAGCCCCCAGCGTTTTAGAGTGCAGGCTGTTCTGAATGGGTCCTTCTTGTCATACTGGTGATGGCGGCTCCACACACACACTGTTTGCAGGTCTCCAGCTGGCAGCGCATCATTTTTATATTGTTGTGAAATGATGTGTCTGTTTTAGTGGTGGTCTACCTACTAAGGAGCCTCAGGTGTGGCCCCTGGCATCACCAAAAGGCCACGCATTATATTCTGTGAACGTAAGGCTACAGAAAACTGGGAGAGGTGCACTGGCAGCTATTGTACATGTGCATTGGGTACCATTCTATATGAATGCCAATGCATAGTGTTGTGGGTTGTGTTACTGCAACCTACAAATCTGAATGGGCCTTCACTTGTTGCTAGGCAGCCTGGCTTCCTGACCAATCAGGAAGCTGGGAGGCCTAGGAAGCCAGGCTGCCTAGGCAATTGGGAAGCCGGGAGGGGGGTCATAACCCACTGCTTGGCTTCCGGATTGGGAAGGAAACCGGCTTCCACGGCACTGCCTATCAGAGGGAGATCTCCCTCTGACCAGAAGTTATTATATTGGAAGTAAGTATCGGAGCATTTGGGCGAGTACGAGTCAGTGGGAAGAATGCTCCTTACATTGGTGGTCAGTGGGAAGAATGCTGCTCACATGGGTGGTCAGTGGGAAGAATGCTGCTCACATTGGTGGTCAGTGAGACAAATTCTACTTACATTGGTGGTCAGTGGGAACACTCCTCATTACATTGGTGGTCAGTGGTAAGAATGCTGCTCACATTGGTGGTCAGCGGGAAGAATGCTCCTTACATTGGTGGTCAGTGGGAAGAATGCTGCTCACATTGGTGGTCAGTGGGAAGAATTCAGTAAATGGTGGACATTGGTGGTCAGAAGAATGCTGCTCACATGCGTGGTCAGTGGGAAGAATGCTGCTCACATTGGTGGTCAGTGAGAAGAATGCTCCTTACATTGGAGGTCAGTGGGAAGAATGCTCCCTACATTGGTGGTCAGTGGGAAGAATGCTGCTCACATGGGTGGTCAGTGGGAAGAATGCTGCTCACATGGGTGGTCAGTGGGAAGAATGCTGCTCACATTGGTGGTCAGGTGGAAGAATGCTGCTTACATTGGTGGTCAGGTGGAAGAATGCTGCTCACATTGGTGGTCAGTGGGAAGAATGCTGCTTACATTGGTGGTCACGTGGAAGAATGCTGCTCACATTGGTGGTCAGGTGGAAGAATTCACTCCTTCCAGTTAGCTAAAAAGATCATTGGTGTAGGTGGTTACTTATCTGAGAGGCAGAAACTGCTAACTGCTCAAGAAACCTTAGTAACCTCTGGATGAACCCTAGGATTTCACAGAACCCTAGTTGGCAATCACTGCTCTAGACTAATGCGGTGACTACCAGGAAGTAGATCATACAACCCCAATTCTCCGTGCTCTTTACTGTGAGACCTGCTCATTACTACACAACCTCTGCTCACTCATGATCAATGGCCTTCATTCTTATCAAATACTGCTGATACTGCTTCAAAGAGTGTGAAGATTTTGGGCTGAGGTTGAGCATTGTTGGACAGGCCACCCATAGAAGAGCGAAGATTGGGGGTTATAGGTAAGTATGATCTATTATGGATGTCCTGGGGAAGGGGAGGGATGCTAAAAAAGACTAAATGCACATCTGACTATGTTATCAAAGAAACCAAAATTGGCAACTACTTTTCCTTGATGGTGCCCTGATCTCATGTAACATATCTGTCTCTCCATAGCTCCTCGATTTCCATGCTCTTCTTGGTCAAGCATGGGGGCTTCAAGCTCTTCCATTTCCTGCTGAGACGTACGTGACTGAGGATGCATCATTGACCTTGCACTTTCTCTGCTGCTGACTGAATCTTCTCCAGAGGGTTCATTATCTCCACAAAAGAATGGCTTCTAGCCCTGACATGGATGAGAAGAGGCCTCAGTTTGGGAATCGCTTCCTGAAGGATCCAAGCCAGGTTTTCCAACACAATGCATGGTGAGAGGTGGGAAATGGGGAGTGTAACATAAATTTGATGAGATATGGGAAGTAGGGTTTTTAAGATGACCATTGTGCTCTCTTTGCTTCCTTTACGGACTTAATGGAACAGTTCAGAGAGGTTGGCAGTAGGGCTGCAACAACTAATCGACATAATCGATTATAATCGATTATTGAAAAAGTTGTCAACTTTTTCAATAATCGATTAATCGGCTTCCGATCAGTTGGCCCTGTTCACGGCTCCACACACGCTGCGCGCCCCACCTCCTCCCCAACTCGCGCTCACCACTGCCAGACCCGCCCGCCCGCATTCACGCTCTACACGCCGCACCTCCTTCCCTCCTTACACTCACCACCCGCCCACATCCACGATCGGCACAGGAGGGACGCGGGGAGATGTAGTAAGGAGGAGGAGGTGTGGGGGGATGACAGCCGCCGATAGACAGGCCCGATCTCAGAAGAAAGTTGCTGGAAGACTGCTCAGGTAAGCCTGCACTTTCCCAAACATGGTGCTCTATAATGTATTGCTGGGATTTGTATTCCTCTATAGCTGATGGTACATTGTGCTGTATATTATACATGGGAATACAAATCCCAGCAATACATTATACACTGTATGTATAATGTATTGCTGGGATTTGTTGTACTCCAAAGCTTGCTCCTGTGATGGACTGCAATCTCAATACAAACTAGTAGTCCATCACTGGAGCCATTTTTAAAAATGTATTTTATTGTTTATCCGATTAACCGATTAATCGAACTTAATAATCGGCTAACTAATCGATTTTGAAAATAATCGTTAGCTGCAGCTCTAGTTGGCAGTAAGGCTTTGTTCACACCAGCCCTCACACTAAAACATTTTTAACTTTATTGAAATGTCACAAAAGTAACATTTTATTCATTTGTATTTACCAGTACGTACGATGCATGTATAAACAGATGGTCAGAGACTTGTGGTGGTAGTAATTACTATAGCTACAGCTGATGGTGACTGGTAAGGGTGCGCCTTACATTTGTGGTCATTGGGAAGAATTTCCTCCTAGTCAGCTAAAAAGATTATTGGGGTCAGTTCTGAGTGGAAGAAATTGCTCAAGGAACCACTAACGACCTCTGGAGGGACCCTAGGATCTTAAGGAACGCTGGTTGAGAAAGGCTGCTATAGACCAGAAGTCCTCAAACTCCAGCCCTCCAGCTGTTGTGGAACTACAAATCCCATGGGGCATTTCAAGACTGACCGTTACAGGCATCACTCGTGAAGCATGTTGGGATTTGTAGATAAAGCACAGCTGTAGGCATCTTAATCCCTCTCTCTACTCTAGACTAATGAGGTGGCTGCATTGTGGTGTGAACAAGGCACATAGAAAACAATAGGTTCCCCAGTCATCTTCGAGGACAGCTACGTGAGATGGTTCACCTACCTCAGGAAACACCAGTAGATATTTTAAATGCCCCACTGACATCCCTTGGCTCTCAGAGAGTTCAAAGTAGAATACTGCCACCAAGTGCTCAGAAAAGTTCCACCTTTATCATTAAAAAGCAATCCTTGAGCTCCGGTCAGTGACTTTGCCAAGGCTGAGATGATGCCATCAGTCTTCTGCAGGCTGGAGGAAGCATTTCTTCAGTTATCAGGCAGTGTAACTGTAATATTGTAACTTGTTAGCAAATCACCAGGCAGTAGGCTTTAGCAGCCCCACACTCTCCTGTGCCCCTGACGTGTTGCAACAGCCCCCCAAAACCTTAAATATACATTTGAACAAAAACTATTATAATTCTTCTTTAAAAAGACACTGTCACCTTGCTCATTTATGACAAAGTGACCGTCTTTGCATAGGAAATCAATCCCCCCTCCCCAGCGACCCACTGATGATCACTTCCATGTTACTCCTGCGTTAGTTGGAACCGGTGACAATACCCAGATTTCTGGGTATGGGGGAGCATGTGACCTTCTCCTGTGTGACACTACTGATGTCTAGTTTCCAATCACTAGGCATGTACCTCGTCACATGACTGATTTAATGACTGATTAGCAGGTCAGGGACAACTGGATTTGGAAAACTAACTGCTTATTTTATGTGTATATTAAGGGACAACGTACAGTGGTCCGAGGAGCAGGAGGCTGCAGCTAAAATGAAGGTTCTGGAAAACAGCAGTCAGCCATTACCACCAGAGAAGCAAGGTAAGTGACTTTTATTTTCGGTCATTGTGCATTACGTAGGGGTTGGGAAGTGATATAATGGATATAGCACTGAGGCTACTTGTCATAGTCTTGTGCAAAATCTTTATATACAATATGACGATGCTTTCTAATAAGTACGCCTTTCTGGACCTTAGGGGCCGGCCTTTTGCTTTTTAAAATCAGCAGTCTAGCTAGAGCTAGACAAAAAGGATTAGGATCAGAGCACTTAAGGGTGCTGATATACATTTACTGACATAGGCAGCTGGCCTTTATTTCTGGATGCTAAAAGCAAGCAGCAGACAGCACAATAAACCCATTTAGGCCCCACATTCTATTTTTACCTTAGGTCCTATAGAGTCAACGCTGCTACCTAAGCTAGTCATACGTGAAAAGATTTTATAGTGAACAGCATGGATGTAGTACAACAGCAAAAAGTTTCCCAGCCAGCATGCAAAAAAACCCTGCCTAACGACTAAGGTTAAAATCAGAGGTTTTAGATACACATCTTCTGCAGAATATATGAAAGCCGCACTGCCTCGCCAAGGCACCTCTGTGTAGTGCGGTCCTAACTCTAATCTATGAGAGTCTCCATCTTGGATCACTCAAACGCACTCATCAACTCACAACCAGCTCCAAAGTAAGATGAGTGCGTTTGCCATTTGTTTTGCTTGAGTGATTTGGTGCAGTGACACACTGGGGGTCTCAGCTGCCGTTGTGATTTGCGGGGTCCCTTGTGTGATTAAGCCCTTACTGTGCACTTTTAGAGTAGCCATACATACTTAGATTTTCTCATTTAGCCTCATGGACTAAACTGAAGAAATCAAAAGATTTTTCATCAATGATGGAATCTACATTGCTGGCTGTTGTATTTGGGAAACCATTGGCACCCGACTGATGGGCTGAATTTTCCATCCAGCAACTTTGATTTATAGTTGACTTTTGTTGAGCCAGGCAGTGTCGACAGGGCCATCAATAGCTTGAATGTCAGGCAATTCTGTAGGAATTGGCCAAAATTCAAGTCATGTATGGCCAGTTTAAACTACACACCCCTGGTGTCCATTAGTTCACAATAGCTATCATGGCTTGTTCTCCACCAACATATGCAATGCTGGCAGTGTCTGCTTCTCCCATCCTGTGAAAAAAAAATACCGTCAGTCAAAGTGTACGTAAACCCAAAACCAAAAATCTGATATATTACTATTTACCAATCCTTAAATGTGTTGGCTGCATTAGATTTCTTTTTTTTCCCCCTTTACTTTCACCCATTGATCCGGCCACTAAAAGAAGTAAAAAGGTCCCTAGTACACCCAGGTCCACTTTATTGATCAGTCTTTTTTTTACATAAAGAATAACATGGATTTACAAGCAAACGCAATGACCAGCCACTAACACACGCTCTTAGGCTTGCTTCACTCTATAGAGGCGCAGTGAAGCTACCCTTGGAGATCAGCACTGTAATCCTGTGGGGAGGACTGTTAGATGTACTAGCAGATTTAGATGAATTCGACTATCAAATTAAATCTGAACTCCAGCTAAAAGTTTTAAACAGTTACAGCAACTATTTTGTTTCCATGTTGGGATAAAAATGTGACAGTAAAGTGACATTAAGGGCCTGTTCACATGAGTATCAGGTCCGGATCTGCAGACGCAGTGCTACTGATGCAGTGCGTTTTGGTCGCATTTTTGATGCGTTCCAGTTAGTATGTTAGCTGCTGTGCAGTGCGTTTTGGACGCGTTTGCGTTTCCTGACCGTACAAAATGTGACATGCAGTAAGTTGAACGGACTGCGCACGTGAGAACTGTAGCCCATAAAACACATAGGGATACATTGGGATGCACGTACAGCTGCGTGCGGGGCCGTACCAAGTAACTGCCGGGAAGGACAGGTGCTGTGTGTGATTAGAACGCAGCCCCGTCCTTCTCTATGGGGCTACGCGGCCGTACGCCCCCCTACGCTCACCTCATTTGCAGGTCCGTAGGGGTACGGGTTTTCTGGCCGGGACGCATACATGTTCCATTCCGGCGGCGTATGGATACGATCACCCGCACCCCTACGGACCTGCAAATGAGGTGAGCGTAAGGGGGCGTACGACCGCGTAGCCCCATAGAGAAGGACGGGGGCTGCGTGTGATCACACGCAGCACCTGTCCTTCCCGGCAGCTACTTGGTACGGCCCCGCACGCAGCACGGAGCTGTACGTGCAGGCCGATTCGTGTGTGAATGAGGCCTTATCCCTCTACAACACCCCCCCCATCCAGATATCTATTACTCCTCTACAAACCCCTTCCCCCTCCCAACCATGTATCTATATCATCCAGATATCTATTACTCCTCTACAAACCCCAGGTGAAAATAAAGGGGAAAAAGCCTCAAAAAACCCTGAATGCAGCCACCATATCTAAGGACTAGTTAGCTGCAATGTATAAAATGTTTGCTTTGGGTTAAGATACGCTTTAAAGTAAACCAGTTACAAAACGGGGCCATTCCGACTCCTCACATGATAAAAAAGATACATTGACAGATGTCGCATGTAGAAGAACGCATGTAAAAATGATCATTGCATTCAGACATGTAATTAACTGAAGTTATATAGTGATCTCCGGATTCTGGTATAGGTCTAGTCCAGCATCGCCCTCTTATCACTACTGAATGTTGACATTGGTCAATATAACTAACTGAAGTTATATAGTGATCTCCATTTTCTGGTAAACATTTAGCCTAGCATCTCCCTCTTCTCACTACTGAGCCTTGACATTGGTAAGTATAACTGGAGTTATATAGTGATCTCCAGTTTCTGGTAAAAGTCTAGCCTAGTATCACCTACTGAGCCTTGACATTGATCAATGGGTTTGAGCTGTAAATGAAATGAAGGTCACTGTATAATGTGCCATTGTAACATTTCCCTGTTTTCCCACAGAGGAGTATGAAAGCAAAGCTAGCAACTTCTGGGATGACTTCTACACCATCCATGAAAACAGGTTCTTCAAAGACAGACAGTGGCTATTCACAGAGTTCCCCGAGCTGTCCCCCAGCGGTAGGAGTCATCCAGATTCTGCTGAAAATCAAAGAATGGACTTTCGGCAGGAAACGGGGAATGTGGACAAAGTTTACCCGGGATCCTCTGCTTCCTACCGTCTCTTGGAGGTAAAGTGTGGAATCCCATGCCCTACCACTTTTCTTTAGCAATAACTGTAACAAATGTGCTCACTACTCAGGCATTGTTCCATTAAAACCTTTTATTTCCGACATATAAAATCCAGATTTGGTGCTTTTATGTCCGCGACATAAAGATAAAGTTTTATTGGAATATTGCTTGTGTTCTGGCCACTTTTGATCCAGTTAATGTATCATGTCTGTGGATAACAAGTCATTCCCCTGGAGGAGAAGTGCCTGGTTGTGGCTGAGCTGTCTATTTTGAGCCTTGGTTGCCCCTGTAGTATTAGCGGCAGAACTACAAACTTCTAAACACACAAATAAAATACATATAAAGAATTTATTTTACCATTTAAGGGATTTTTCTTTCTGCTGATTCATTTATGAGATTGACAGTCGGCACAGCAAGGCAGGTGACACCACATTCTTAATAAAAGTAATGCACAATGTGATTTCAGCTCCCCACCCCAGCACCCAGCCTGCTGATTGGACAGTGAAGGTGCAGCGGCAGACTGATGAAACCATCCCTTTGCTCACTTGGTGAGCACTGGTTTCTTTCAGTAATTACATTGATATGATATTAAATATAGAGCTGCATTAATGTGCATCTATTATATCTGGATGGAGTTCAGCTTTAATGTTTATAGATGCTGCAGTTTAAACCACATGCCATGCCATTATTTTTATCTAACCTTGCTCATGTGACTTGCAGCACTACACAGCTTTAATGTCTACCAACCAGGTCACCTGCCGGGTCACAGATTTGTTTAAAGCTTAATTTTATTTTTTTTTTTTAGCTTAGGGTAAACTGGGCATGAGTTAACATTTTTGTCAGTTTTGTATTTCTTACTTTAACCTCATTTGATAGTATTATAGTATTCTATTATTTTTTGTCTTTATGACACCAAGACAAAAAAATGGGGGAGCTGTTGCCTCTGGAACAGGAAATTACACAGCAATAATATCATTGTCTATTAAAAGTGTGCTTTCCTTTTTGACCGTATCCCCATTGGAGAGATTTCCCATCAGTTATGTCCTGTCAGGAGGTACACAGACAGCTGTAAAAACTTTACAAAGAACCTAACCCTTTACTACTCTATCCAAAATTGAAATCAAACTTTTGGCATTCAAACTATAGGCTACTTGTTGCCACAGACGGTTGCTCAGGGTGGCTGCTGTAAGCTGACCACACGTGTTCCGATCCGATTGTACAGTCTTCTTTGGATATACCAAAACAATGTAATGTTTGGACCTACCTATACAATCAGACAGGCTCTTGCACTTTTTTTGGTAGATCTAAATGAGCTAGTACAGTCAGCTTGTAATATGTATGGTCGGCTTTGGAGTGCTTGAGTGCAGTGTTAATCACAGAAGGAAGGTTAGATCCACCAATGATGCAACGAAATTCACTAATCTTTAACTGGTTTAAGTCGGTGAACTAGCTGTTGGTATGTTTTTAGGTTGCGAGTGGAAAACCCAACACTCTAGGTGAACTCTTACCACTTAGCTGCCATGCTGCCCTTCAAGTACAGTCGTCATGAGAGATACCTGGAGACTGCCATTGCTAAGCATTCCTTCTGTCAATTTGCCCCATATGCTTCAATTCTTCAAATATTCACAGACCTAGAGGAGACCGAAAAGGACATTTGGCCTTGCTGATCAGCGTACTTGTTCCGGGTTAGTGATAGAGGAAGTATTGGAGACCGCTAGTCTGAATAATAGCGAGGCGTTCAGCATCCTCAGAAGATGATTAACAATGGCAGCCCCATCACTCACATGGGATGTATAGCCCAAAAAACGTTTTCCTTAGTTAGGGATAGAGTAGTGTCCATGTATTTTTTGCTGTCACATTAGGGAGATTTACCTTTTTGTTCCTCTCTCTCGCAACAGGAAGTTAAATGAAATTCCTACAAGTCGCAGGCAAATTACCTCTTGGACAATTTTCAATATAACAGGGGTCCCCATTAGAAGTTTTCCGCTCATCTATTGTTCTGGAATTGTAGATTTTCCATCACTTTTTTGTCTGTGTCAGTAGGTGAATCTACCCAGTGGGGACACAGACATTAATTTAAAAAAAACCTGGCAGGGCTTCTAATATTTCCCTACTCTATTTAAAATGAAAGAAAAAGGTTTTGGCTTTACATACTTGGTCATTGTAATAAAGCGGCCTCTTAAACTTGCAGTGAGCATCATCATTTTTACAAACCTTTTACACAGCTGATAAGTTTGAATGCCCTTAACTGTTAGACATGTACAAATTGTTCATGCAACACAGATCACCAGATTTGGGTTGATTGTGCTGGCTCAGGATCTGACGCAGTCATCTGATCAGCGTAATGGAACTTTATCTCTGGATCAAGGTGTCCTTTTCCCTCAGCCTTCCTATCTCTCCATGATATGTAACCTGCTATTTTCTTTATTTCAATCATAGGTGGGCTGTGGGGTTGGGAACACTGTCTTTCCAATACTGCAGACAAATAAGTGAGTACATTCTATGCAGCATTAATTACATTTAAACAAAACATGTCTTCGTATATAAACAGTATATTTTCTTTTTTTTAATACTATAATTGTATCAGATAACTACAGTAATAAACATTGGCTACAGTAGCCTCTGCAAGCTGAAACCATTTTGAAAAACTGTGGAACCAGCACAGGATAATCTTCCAAAGAAATTCAAACGTTATTCCACACGAATCTATACAAAGCACAACTGCTGACGCGTTGAATATCATTCAACCTTTTGATTTTGATGATGTTTACCAATAATTCTTAAGTGTGTACTCTCCTCTTTCCCTCTGCCTTGTCTCTTATTTTATTTAATAATATGGATTGTTTATTGGATACAGATGCTCTCAAGTGTTTTTCCCCGCCCTGCGTGGTGTGCTATTTTAGTGGGGTTAGTGTTAGTTCACAACCAGCTATGACTAAGGCCGAGTAAGGCGGAAATGCGTCAGCGGTTGTGCTTTGTACAGATGCATGTGGAATAAAGTTTGAATTTCTTTGGAAGATTATCCTGTGCTGGTTCCACAGTTTTTGAGTCTATTACTCCGGAAGAGTCATCCGTGCACCTAATGTGGATTGCGGGGTTGCATGATAGGGGTGAGCTGTGCACTTGAGTCTACCTGAAACCATTTTGAGTTTGACAGTTAGCAACGGCGCACATTGCCTCTGGAAACCGGTTAAACAAAGCATACACCTTTTTTTTCTGTCTCTAGTGACCCTGGCCTGTTTCTATACTGCTGCGATTTCTCTAGCACTGCTGTGGAACTTGTGAAGGTAGGTTGGTTAGCAGTAAATGCATTCTATAAACCAGACAGCAATACATGATTGTTGCATAGCCAGAGGTATAATCCCATACTGATTGGTTCATGTAAAGCTGGGGTAGCCAGACTTTGGCCCTCCAGCTGTGGTGAAACTAAAAATCCCATTGCAAGTCTCTGGCAGCCACAGGCATGAATTCCAGAGGCAGACGCACAATGGAATTTGTAGTTTGGCTACCCCTAAGCACTCATTCACAGGTGCTGCATGTGATTAGTTTGCGGCTACCCGTCCTTCTCTATTGGACTAGGCGGCCGTACGCCGCCCTACGCTCACCCCAAGTGCAGGTCCGTAGCGGTGCGTGTTTCCTGGCTCAGACGCAGACAGGATCCATCCTGTCAGTGTACAAGTACACTCACCCGCACGGATGTGCAAGGCGGGTGAGCGTAGGGGGGGCATACGGCCGCGTAGTCCCATAGAGAAGGACAGGGGCTGCGTACTTATCGCACGCAGCACCTGACCTTCCTGGGAGCTGCTCGGTCCTGTGTTAATGAGGGCTAAATGTAAAACAGCTTAAAAATCTCTAAATTATTGTAAGAAGTCATCCAGTAGGATGACCACAAGACCAAGATTTCTTTTGTATTATGTCAGTCAAAGTACCGCAGCGCTGAATACTGAAAAATGGCCTGGATGGGAAGGGGGTTTAACAACGCGGATGTCAACTGGTTAATGATCAATCCCCTGTCCAAGAGAGGGGAGCAATTATTGTGCGTTTTTTTTCATTGATCCCACAGCCGGTGGTACTCCGATTGCCCTGTCTGTGGACAATCTTAAACATAGAATATTTTCAAATCAGTCCCCAGAAGTATCAATAGACAAAGCATGATTGATCATAGAAATGTATGAAAGCAATCAAATATAGTGCATGAAAGTAATTATTGTGCCCGTGGTGTCTTGTACAGACGAGTCCTCAGTATGACTCATCTCGATGCTTCGCCTTTGTCCACGACCTCTCGGATGAGAAATCATCGTACCCCATTCCCGAGGAAAGCTTAGATGTCATCATTCTTATCTTTGTCCTTTCGGCCATCCTTCCAAACAAGTGAGTGACCTGTAAAATGCCGAGGGACTGAGATGGATCACTGCATCTATGGGCTATCTGCTGAGCTTGCAGCCAATTATTTCATTTTGTGCCTTTCCATAAAATATATGTCCTGACCACAGCGTGCAACCAGGACACTTTTCAGGGATCTATTTAAAGTGAACTTTCCACCAGATAATCATTTGTATTAGGATTTCTTAAAGCAACTACGTTACATAAAGGTGACTGCATTTACTTCTATCTGCAGCACACCAGAAACCTGGCCATGTTCTATATGTTGCCAGGACTGTCCCTATAATAAGGCAGCCTCAGGCAGCATCTCTTTTGATCACGTGGGGGGTGGAATTCCACTGGCAGCACTTACAATAATGAACTTGTTGCTTTTCAGTGATGATAGCTCTGCACTGTCTGTCGCCATTCCATCACCTCAGCTGCAATCTTAGATCCTTCTTCTGCTCTCCGTGTCTTGACTTCCTCACCTGAATGCCTAAACCCACCCCACCTCTAGTCTCACTGCCTCACCTGAATGCCTAAACCCACCCCACCTCTGCTCCCACTGCCACATCTGAACTCCTAAACCCACCGCCAATCTCACTGCCTGTCCTGAACGCCTAAACCCCCCACACCTGAACGCTGAAACCCACCTCCGCTCTCACTGCCACATCTGAATGCCTAAACCCACCCAACCTTCTCTCTCATTGCCACGCCTAAACCTACCACACATCTGCTCTCAATGCCACACCTGAACGCCTAAGCCCACCCCACCTCCGCTCTCATTACCACATCTGATTGCCAAAACCCACCACCCTACCTGAATGCCTATCACCACTCCAACTTCACTCTTACCACCACACCTGAATACCTAAGCCCACCCTGCTCTCACCAGCCTTCCTGAATGCCTAACCCCACCCCTACTCTACTCTCATCCCCATACCTGAATGTCTAATCCATTCTCCCCACCACACCTGCACGGTGATCCCCTCCTCTCAGCACCACAACTGCATGCTGAACTAACCCCACCCTTTCCCCACTCTCACCCCCACACCTTCACACTGAACCTGACCCCTTCCTTCCTTCCTTCGTTCTTGCCACCACACCTTACACACACCCAACCCCGTAATGTTGAAAAATAATACCAATATCAATGTGAAAAACTTCCTTTTTACAACACTTGCCTTGTTTTCTGCATTTAATTCCATCTCTTCTCTCTCTGTACAGGATGCAAGATGCCATTTCACGTTTAAGTAAGCTTCTGAAGCCCGGTGGCTGCATCCTGTTGCGGGACTACGGTCGCTATGATATGGCCCAGCTACGTTTTAAGAAAGGTATTGAACTGATCTCCCGCAAGTACCATGATTGTGGAATCTCTGTAGGGGTCTTCTACTTGGAATAGCTAGAATATAACAGCAAGGAGGTAAACATCTAAAATCCAGGCAGATGCAAAAAAATGCTGTTATGTCCTGTATTCATTCAAGAAATGAATCTTTAAAGAGACCCTGTCACCTCGCCCGTTCAGGGTAAAGTGACAGTGTCTGTATAAAGCTCACCTCTTATGTGCCGCCCCCCCCCTCCGCCAATGCTTTCTCAGTTGCAGTAACAAAATACCCAGTGCTAGTTGGTGTCAGAGCTCATAAAGAGCAATAATGTTACCCCCCTCTGTCATGTGACAGTGCGTGGGCCTACCAATTGGCTGCTAGATCCAAGCATTGCATCATGGGAGGAGGTGACATGTTCCCTCAATACTGGAAGCACTGGGTATTTTGCAATGGCAGACACAGAAAAAGGATTGGTGGGGGGAGTGCTGGAGAGTCATTGGGGGATTCGCTATACACCTTGCCATTAAACAGGGGGAGACAAACTTTGCCCCCCAGTTGTTGTGGAAGTACAAGTCCCATGAGGCATTACAAGACTGATGACCACAAGCATGACTTCCAGAGGCAGAAGCATGATGGGATTTGTTGTTTCACCACAGCTGTAGGGTTGGAGTTTGCCTACCCCTGCCCTAAAGGGACAAGGTCACAGTGTCTCTTTAAATGCTAGTAGTAGTTCTTCCTGGGACTTCACCACTTAGCTGGCCATACACCAGTAGAATTTTATTCAAAATAATACGTTTTCAGAACGTTTGGTCGGTCTTCTAATAGTCAAATCCACGATTGATTCGACCGTAGTAACAAAATAAACAAGGAGCGGGATGGAACATTTTTCTCGAATGCACAAAATTATAACCGAGAATGAGGTGTTTGTTTGAGAAGCTCCATTCATTCCAAAATTGAATGGAATTTCAAACAACATTCTGGTCTCTGAGGGCATTATTGAATTGGTGAGATTTTTCATATAAAAGTTTTGATTTGAAATTCTACCAGTGTTTACTCTACTCTACTCTAGCTTTATCAATCCAGAACAAGCATGCAGGCAGTGAAAACAGAAGTCACAATTTGCATCATCAGTGACTCCCTGAAGTTATAGGATAAGCGGACAGTCAGCGCTCTATTAGCTTGTAAAGAATTTTAAAAAAAGGAATCAGTGGCAGCTCCCGTATTTCTGTCCTGACAAGTTTCCTTACTAAGTCTGAAACAAGTAAACTGATCTGTTTGTCGTTTCCTACATGGTAATGTAACACAAATTGTCTTTTTAAAAAAAAATCTTCTTGGAATACCAAGAACTCCACTTCCTGTCTTTGCACCTGAGGAAGAGGGCTATATGACCTGCATTAGTCTAATTGTGGATCTCTGCTGTAATTTGGACTTCCTACATGATGCTGGGTGGGGTTCCATGACTCATGTAGCAAGTCATAATGACGTTTACTTGTTATGTTGTCTGTGATTTGTTGCTAGAAGGGAAGTATACATTCCTGGTCATGAATGAGGCCACATTCACATGGGGCTTATGGTTGGAACTGGGGATTCCTTTGGCAAGAACCTACAGACTTGTGGCAGCAATCCCAGGTGTTCCTGTACATATGCGGCCACTATTGCCCATTCAAGTGAATAAGGTGACAGCGGTCGCATCTGTATTTGGCTGTCCGCATGTAATTGTACATTGAACGATTAATTACCTGCGGATCGGACCCACCTGTGATTGCTGCAGGAATCCCCAGAGGCAGTCTTAAGGGGTTATTCCACTTTCCCATTCTGGAAAATTGAATTACCTCCACCAATCTGCTCCTTCCCCCGCTGCTCTTACCTGTTGATGAACGCGCTTCCCCTCTGCAGCTTTTGGTGTAGGACCCATAATCTGTACACAGCAGTGCAGCCCTGCGGTCGGTATTTTAAATTCTGCTCGCAAATGGCAAGCACTCATTGGTCAGTGCGGTCACCTGACCACACTGACCAATCAGAAGCTCATCTTAGCAACTGGGCATAGACACCCAGTTCAGCTCATCTGGTGTGAATGGGTCCCAAGTCTTCATATTTGTATTAACCTTTATTTGCCCTGTGTATGTGCAGGAGTTTATACCTAGGACTAAAACTTCATATTTCAGTATGCAATTATGTTCTTGTGACACCGTTTATCATATTTATCCTTCAGGACGATGTCTGTCTGAAAACTTCTATGTAAGAGGAGATGGCACAAGGGTCTATTTCTTTACTCAAGGTAAGTCTGTGTTTCCTGATTTGTAAAGGTGGCCATACAAGAGTCAATTGCCAGCCAAGAAAGGCTGATTAATTCCCCTTACATTATTCTTACACAACATGCGAGGCTGAGAGAAAACAGTCTGTAAATAAAAGGACTTGTTACCTGGCCTACCGATCTTCATTTGGTTGCAGATCTAAGCTTGCCAAGGAATCTTCAGCATCCAACACTTCTTCAAGTGTTGGATGCCTTGCCTCTTTCTACATCCTGCGGGGTTCCCTAGGACTCCTACCTTGTCACATGTGCAGCACCACGCAGGGGGATGGACAGGTAACAACCTCCCGTCCATTCCACCCGAAACCCCAACTCTGACCCCCCCCAACACTTCCACCGCTCCTTTCCTAAATGGTGGGGTTCTTCTACCGACAGGATGCAACTGTTACATACCTTAGGGGAGTCTGAGTTGATGAGGGTGGCCTCTCTTGCTGCTCCAGTCCTAGTACCCCTGGGAAGTGGAACAGGTGTGCAAGGACAAGGAGTGGCATGGATGCCGGAAGATTACGTAGTCACTGGGAATGTGGGTATCATAAGTGCAGACATCTTGGAGGAGGGGAGCAGGTGATAAAAACGCAGATCTTCTGTGGCACGGTCCAGGGAAGCCGAGTTAGCAAGAGTCGGGCAGTGAGGTACCGGAACAGGCAAGATGCAGTCAGGGACAAGCCAGATCAATAACTGCAGCATAGTACAAAATAGCAGACAGACCCATGGTCAAAAACGAGCCATGGTCAAGGGATAGAGAAGAGCAGTAGGGAGGTCAAGGTAAGCTGGGTCAGTAAAGGGAGATCAAGATGCAGGATAACAGAAGCAGGACACCGCTAAAGATCACTCAGCATTGGAGGCTTGGACTCCAGCATTTGCAATGAGTGCGTGCACAATGTGAGATGCATGTACAGACACGCATGCGCCTGTGCAGAGGCACACGGCAGTGCACAGTTCAATGACTTCTCGCAGAACCAAAGCCGTACGGGCTGGTTCTGGCTTCCTGACAGCAACTGTTTAAAAAAAAAAAAAAGGCACTTCTGTGCGTGGCTCTGTCCAGCTTTGACAGGGCCTGTGAATGGGGAATATATAAGTCCCATCAGAGACTTGATTCATTCTTCCCCCTTGGTACGGGCATGGACAGAAGGGGGAATCTGCAGGAGCCAGAGCATTGCACCCATGATCCACTGATGGCAGTTCTAATGCTTTATTGGCTCGTGGCTCCAATGCAAAAAAAAAAATATCCTTTATGTATATGTGTGCATTTATTTATTTTATTTATGCATTAAAACTTTAACGTTGCATGCATTCCTCTAAAAGCAGAATCACTTCAAAACACATCAATCAGGATTGATGTAATTGTGGCATAATGTTTTTGTGACCAGAGAAACGTGCTTTCTTTCCAGATGAGCTGGGGGATATGTTTACCAAAGCTGGTTTGGAGAAAGTTCAGAATATAGTGGATCGGCGGCTGCAAGTAAATCGAGGGAAACAGCTGACAATGTACCGCGTTTGGATCCAGTGTAAATACCGCAAGCCGTGCAATTGAAAAATATAGGACAATGTGTCATTACCCCGATACCAACACCGATGTATGATGAAGATCATCCTTCATCTATACTTCATGCTGCCTTCCGTCTGCCTATCACTCTCAACAGCTTCCTGGGTTCTCAGTGTGATTTGCATGTCTCTTCCTGCTGCTTGATGTGAAGACTACATATCCCATCATGCATTGCTTCCAGCAAGCAATGATAACGTTACAGTGCTCAAACGTAGAGTTGTAGTTCAGAAGGCAGGTAGTACATCCTATAGGCATCTTCAAAAAGTAAGTTTACAAACTTCTAGATGGTTATTAGGAGTGGGATAGAACATATGAAAATTCAATATAGTTACATATTTCTTTTTAGCTTTTGACAATTGATGCCCTTTAAGTGTCCACATGGAACTGTAGTCACCATTGAGAATCACCATTGAAAATGGATACATTTGTGGTTTGTGAAAAATAAAAAGTTTAGGCAGGGGTAGGTAACCTTGGTACTCCAGCTGTGGTTGTCAGAGTCTTGCAATGGCTCATGGGACTTGTAGTTCCTCAACATCTGGAGGGCTGAGGTTGCCCACCACTGGTTGAATGGATGACAGGAGAACCACTTTGTAGCAATAGGGTGTTTTATAAATGGCATTGGAATGGTCTGTCTACCAGCACAGTAACATTTTATGTATTGTGACCCTTGGCTGACTGTCGGCAATTTTAAACACATTCTTCTTCTAGGGACTTTGAACTTTATCCTCTTTACAGAAGGCAAACATGGCATGTGTCTACCAAATGTCAAGGACGTTTTAATGTTCTTACAAAATAAAATGTCATAGTATTGATCATATTTAACACAGGTGTTTGTTTCTGACAACCTTTTTTATTCGGGGTGGGTGGTTGCTGAGTGGTGACAGAAATGAATTTGGGTGTGGTTCGTACCTACCTTTCACATACATATCCAAGATATGGGACAACCCACTCGATCAGGTAACGTGCCTATGGATGGAGCAGAGGTAGGCAACCTCGGCACCCCAGATGTGGTGAAACTACAAGTCCCGTGAGGAATTGCAGGACTGCCACTGGGTAAGACCTTTGATTACTCCAGCTACTACGTTACAGCACATGGTGAGCGACTTGGGTGGGTAGTTATTGCGTCACGCCCATGCTGCTCATTCTTTACTGGGGCCTAGCGAAAAGAACACTTCCCACTGATAGGCAAAATGGATTGGACAGGGCTGTGTTACAGCACAAAATTTTCCCTCTGACACTTAAGTACAACATTTCTCACCGTTTTCCAGTCACGGCACCTTTTTAAAAGTATGCAAACTCTCAAAGCACCCCAGTCTAAAATGAAATGGATTTATGGGGGCACCCCATAAAAAAAACACAAAGTGGCGCTCCCCTTTTCGATCAAAGTCCTTACTTCAAATCAGTTCTCTGCCCTTTGCAGGAGGAGCCCTCCTTTCACATCAGAAGCCCCCCCCTTTACATCAGAGCCCTTCTTTCATATCAGAGCCCTCCTTTCACATCAGAAGCACCCCCTTTATATCAGAGCCCTTCTTTCACATGAGAGCCCCCTTTCACATCAGAAGCCC